CCCCCCCCCCCCCCCCCCCAAACCTCCGCACTTCCTCGCTAACACCCACCAAGCTATCATCCCTCCTCCTCACGCTCTCCAACAACCCCAGCGCCGCGATCCTCGATGGGCTCCGCGGGTTAGAAAGGAAAACGAGTTTGGTGTTTACGCTGCTCAAGGCGAGTGTGTATAGTATTGTGTTGAATCAGCAGATTGATACTGAGGGCGGGGATGGGGAGGGCGAGGGCGAGGGGGAGACGGAGGGGTTGAGTCGGATGAGTAGTCGGGGGTAGGGGGGTAGGGGGTAGTAATGGGGAGGGATGGAGGATGTGGGAAAGGGATGGGAGGGAAGGGATGGGAGGGGGTGGAGGAAGGGATAAAGAGGTGGGAAGGGGAAGGAATGAGAGCGTTTGACGATTATGATACCCCACTAGAACAGCAATGTAAACACATACTTCGATACAGCGAGCGAAACAGAGAAGTTGGTATGCAAGATAACATGATATGATACAAGATATCTACACAAGCTCTACATGAGCATCTCCACCTCATACCATGCCATGCCTATGATACACCTCTACTCTATCCTCCTCTTCACATGCAGGAGCCCAACAACAGTCACATAGCCATCCATATACCGAAGTATATAGACTAATGTATGCTCCCTCCATAGTAAACCTTTCTAACATCCACCAGCTTCTTCCCCCTCGCTCTGGCAATCTCATCCGGTAACCTCTGCTGCGTAAGCGCCTCCCACGTCGCCTTGATAACGTTCATTTTATTCCTCGACCGCGGTGTCTTGGCCGACAGATCCTGAAGACCCGCTGCACGTGCGAGTTCGAAAATGAGATGTTGGACGCGGAGACCGAAACCTGCTCATAGTCAGCCGTCATGTTTGCAAAAGGTAGGTCACAAGGAAGTGTGGGATAACGAGAAGAATGACTTACCAGGCGGTCTCGCAAAAATCTGGACCTTCGTCGCACCGACCTTCTTCTCCAGATCGCCAAATGTAGTCCTGTTCTCGTAACGGGGAACAGGGCGCATGTTTCGTATGGCGCTCATGACGCTCTGCTTGCGGCCTTCATCCGGTTCTACGGATTTGCCTTCTCCGACGCCGAGGAGCCCGTCTTGGTTACCCGCAATGGTCAGGTAGTACATACTTCTTATCTTGCCCATGCGAGTCTGGTTGGTAACGAAGTGCGTAACTAGTGTCTTGACGCGGATTTGGCGCAGCTTCTGCTTGTCCCAGCCTAGGTATTGCAAGAGGCGCTTTTGCCGTGGGTCCTCTTCTTCTTCGGTCGAGAGACGCCGGGTCTGACGGACCATGCGGTTTTCGACGCGGGGGAGGTCGGGTGCGATGACCGAGTGGCGCTCGTCGCCTAGGGCTTGGAGGGCGGCGGGGTTCTTGGATGTGTAGGTTGCGCGGGGGTCTAGGGTGGCTTGGGTGACGGCTGCGTCCATGGCTTTTTGTAGGTTCTCGTCGTCTTCTGGTATGCCGTCGGGGTACATCTTTGCGAGGTTTTCCGTCGCAATGCGGGTTATGTTCTCGTCGCGCTCGACTTCGTTGGCGATGCGGAAGGTTTTTGGGCCTTCGATGTCGTCGCCTGTTAGGCGCTCAGGTCGGTCCGTGACGGGGTCTACCTGCGCCAGGTCGTCTTCGTAGTTCATACGCCATGGATCTGTTCTTCGCTGGCCCTGCGTGAGGACATCTCGGGCGTCGATTGTAGACTCGGCGGCTTTGATGGCGGCGATTTGCGAGGGTGTGTACTTTTTCTCGAGCAGCGTCGTCTCCGAGGTGTCGTACTTGGGGTACTCTGCTTCGGCGGCCTGGTTGAGGAGCTTGAGGTCATCGGCCTTTATTGACGGGTAATGCGGTCTCCTCTTGCGAGCGGGTCTGGGTGCGGAAGCATGGAAGGTGCGTTGCGGAGGCGGTTTAGGCAGCGTCGTCGATGCTGCTTTGGTGAAGAGACATCTTGCGGGGCGGCAGACGCTCATTGTTGGCCTTGGACCTCCGAGTGAGGGCCAATGGAGCGTGGGGAGGCGGTAATAGCGGGTGGCCTGCGCGGCGTTGTGATGGTCAAAGTGAAGTTCGGAAAGTTCAGCGTGACTAAGCGGGATGGCAGTAATCGCTCCAGCCAATCGCCATCTCTCTATCCCAGTGACTAACGCGACTTTCTCTTTTCTCCAATTTCACGATTTACTGCATGTACTCTGGGATTCTTACTCGACCGCTCCGGACACTGCTGGTCAGTAGCCGATATACCCAGATTGCTAGATACAGAATGGCTTCGTCAGCGGACAATGTCGCGTCTATTGAGAGCAACGGCGCGAAAAGATATGCCGAGACGCCTCTACGGAGCGAGGAAGGACCACGAGGCAACTACAGATTCAAGAACAAGCGCATGAAGAACGGACATGCTGAGCAGAGCAAGATTCTGAAAACTAACGGAACCAATGAGGAGGTCTTATTGCAGGACGTTACTGCGCTCATCAAGAACCTCAATATAGAAAGAGAAGGAAAGGAAATCTCGACAACACTGGCAGAAAAGTTCAAGGAGATCGAGGTTGAAATCAAGGAAATCTCTTCCACTGGTGATGGCCTCGGTTTCCAGAAGGATTCAGATTCGGACCAGGTCTATGTCGTACCCTTCAGTGCACCAGGAGACATCGTAACAGCCCGGCCACACAAGCACTTTGAGAAAGAAAAGTACTCCATGGCCGACTTCGTCAACGTGATCACGCCCTCACCTCAACGCGACGACTCTCTAGTAAAGTGTCCCTACTTCGCCAGCTGTTCCGGCTGCCAATTCCAAATGCTACCCTACGACACGCAACTCGCGCACAAAAAGACCATCGTCGAGAAAGCGTACAAGAACTTCTCCAACCTCCCACCAGAGCTCATCCCCACCATCGGCGACACAATCGGATCGCCATTGCAATACGGCTACCGCACAAAGCTAACCCCCCACTTCGACGGCCCGCCCGACGCCCGCCGCAGCGACGGCCGCAACGGCATAAAGCGCACCTTCAAAGAAGTCCCACCCATCGGCTTCATGAAAAAAGGCACCCGCAACACAATCGACATAGAAGACTGTCCCATCGGCACAGACGCCGTGCGCGCCGGCAACAAGCGCGAGCGCAAACGCGTCGCAGACACCATATCCACCTACCACAAAGGCGCCACGCTCCTCCTCCGCGAATCCACTACCCGCATCCCCAAGACCGACTACGACGCCAGTAAAGAAACAGATCCCGACGCGGTGATTGAAGACCGAGGCACGCACATCCACCGCAAAATCTGCATAACAGACCCCAACGCCAAATCCACAGAATACATCTCCGACGAATTCCAATTCGTGAATCCAGCCGGCTCTTTCTTCCAGAACAACAATTCCATCCTCCCTGTCTTCACACAGTACATACGCGAGAACATCTTGCCTGCACCCAGCCAAGACCACAAAATCACCCATCTCATCGACGCATACTCCGGTTCCGGTCTCTTCACCATCACGCTCTCAGCGCTGTTCAAATCATCGCTCGGAATCGACATTTCATCCAGCAGCATCGAGTCAGCGAGCACGAACGCAAAGTTGAATAACTTGCCGGAATCTTCTACGCGGTTTATCGCGGCGGATGCGGCGAGGCTGTTCGCTTCGATCAAGTCGCCCGCGGAGGAGACGGTCGTTATGTTAGATCCGCCGCGCAAGGGCTGCGATGAGTCTTTCTTGAGACAGCTGGTACAGTATGGGCCTGCGAGAGTGGTGTATGTGAGTTGTAATGTGCATACGCAGGCGAGGGATGTGGGGGTCTTGGTTGGCGGGATGACGGGTGTGGATGGGGGGTTTGGTAAGGGGGAGGGGTGCTATGAGATTGAGAGTTTGAGGGGCTTTGACTTTTTCCCGCAGACGGGGCATGTGGAGGGGGTTGCTGTGTTGAGGCGGAAGAGCGGTGGGGAAAAGGGTGTCAAGGACGTGGAGTCATGAGGTTGAGTACGGTTTCTTTTTGGTATGGTCAGTGAGCGATCAAAGGCATATCGATCTGATGTGTTGATTGTCTTCTCATTGTCAAATGTTTTGCTGTCATCTCGTGCTCGCTCAATAAGCCATGCCAACATCTACACACATTCCCTACGATAGCCCGCCGCTTACGTGCTTCCTGGTCCACCCAGCAGCGCGAACCTTCGGACAATGCTGGGACCAATCTCGTCGTATTCCGCCTTGGTGTGGCAGTAGCTCTTGAACTCTGGTGTCTGACCGAGCAAGCTACCACCGAACCATGGGCCGTGTCTTTGCCTCTTGTGAGTGATGACTTGTACGTCCAGACCACCACTCTTTGCTCCTCCGCTCTTCGCTTCCGAAGCCTTGATCCTTGCGTCGACCATGTGCCTGATGTCGCGCTGCAGGCGTCGGCCAAAGTCCTTGTATAGTGTCGAACCACCCGAAAGCACAATGTTCTTGTAGAGTCCTCTGCGTACGTCGATGGGGGAGGATTGGATGACGGTGTCGACAATGGTAGGTAGCGGGGTGAGGAAGTCGGACGAGTAGATCTCGGGGTTGAAGAAGATCTCAGGCGCGAGGAAACGTTCGTAGCCGACATCGACGGACGTGGTCTTGCCGTTGGGGTAGTTGACGGTGTGCTTCTTGAATCGGTCGTCTGACTCGCGGTCGAAGCGGGCAAACTCCTTGACAATATCAGGGCATACGTAGCAGTATTCCTCCTTGATGCGCTCGGCAGTCTGGAGGGAGGAGTCGGGTTCGCCGCGTTCTCGGAGGAGCGATTGTACGAAGTTGGTGATGTCGCGACCGGCGATGGGGACACTCTTGATTGAGGAACCGATGACGTAGCCTTCAGCAACGGGGATAACGTGCGTGACACCAGCTCCGGAGTCGATGACAGTTCCGGTGAGGGATCGGTCCTGCACCTTGGAGCTAGTCCATGACGCGGCCAGGGCGAGCACAGCTTGTACGGCAATGTAGAGACCGGCGACGTTGAACGACTCGAACATGATTTCGGCGGTGGCTTCGCGGTTCTCGGGAGGGTTCAGTGGCTATGGCTTGTCAGCTCCATCCTCCAGCGATTGTAGAAAGATAGCGTACGGGCTCGGTGAGGAGGAAGTGGTGGTCCTCAGGCTCCACTCTCAGGTACTTGAATATCGAGTTGGACCAGAAGCGTTCCATAAGGTCCTGCATGCTATTAGTACACCCTACCCTCTATCTGCATGCCTCTCCATACCCAGTTGTCTATCTGACCATGCCTGATCGGGTAGTTGATGCCATAGCCCGCGCCTCCAGCTGCGGCCAGAGCTTCGTCGCCGATGAAGAAGTCGAGGTCCTCGGTGCCGCGCTTTCCAGACAGATGCCCACCCGGCCCAGCTCCACCAGTCAGGAATGAGGGCTTGTTCGCAACGGCTGGGCGTCCAGAACCTGATCCGCCGCTACCGCCTGTTGGGCCTTTGGTAGCTATCGCGGTGGGGAAGACGAAGGAGGGAGAGTCGTTGCCGGCGAAGCCTGGTAGATTGTTATTAGAGGCCAACTCCACGAATTGAATTGGTCAGCATACCGAGCTTCGAGTATCCCGTACCGCTATAGCCAGTGTCAGTACTCGATCGCAACGTGGGTGCCCATGGGCAGCGGGTAGCTTACTTGTCCATGACAACGGCGGGGGTTTGAGACGCCATCTTTGCTGCTGCTTGGCACAAAAACGAATATGCAACGCAGCTCAGGTGGTACCTGGTATAAGAGCAGAAACGCGTGGGCTGGGTGTCGAGGTGGCTTCGTCAAAGAGGTGACGACGGCGGTCGGTGCACGTTGTCGAATCAGGCACCGCCCCGCTCCGCCCTTGGCAGCGGAGGGAGACGAAATAGTGGGGAAGGACTTGCTCACTCCGTCAACACGATTGCTCCTGCCTCCCTGATCTGCCGTGCCTACCGCTTCAATAAAGTCTGTGTCATACCGCAAAATACTGCAACCACATGGCTTAGGCTGATGCACAGAGGAAAGAGCCATCGCAAGCTCATTTTTGACATCGCTGCTAACCTCCTCTCCACTGACTGTGCACCTACAGCGCTCATCGAGCATCTCTCCCACTCTCATTGCTCACCCCGCCGCCACAGGTCCCCATCGCCTTTACATCGGCTCATCCTCTCCATTAATTTCTCATTGTTCCCCTCCTCAGTCACCTCGTCTGTCCTGGAATTACCTATCTTCTCTTCCGAACCTACACCTGCCCGTGTCTCGAATGACCGCTTAACGACCGTTTCCACAGTCAACCTCACAGCCGTCTGCCGCTACCGCCCACTCTAGAGTGACACCGGATTATCCCGATAATCGGCCAAACATTCCCGCCCCGGCAACAAACGCCCGTCGCGTCTGTACTGACCCAGAACTGCCATCAAGCCTCATCTGAGAACCGTCATCTCTCACTGTATTGCACTGGATACGTTCGGCCTGCGCTTCCGCGACCTTTGTCGACGCTTTTCCACTCACAAAGGCATGTCGGTCCCTAGTCGTCACTATGCACCCATAGACGGAGCTTATCATATTGATACGCACACACGCAAAGCCTCGCGTAGTCCGCCAAACGATGATGTATGCTGCATATATGTTCACGCTGGCGCCGGCTATCATAGCCACCAGAACGAGAGGATACATCTGGAAGCGTGTAACGAGTGAGTTTTCTGGTGTTTTCTCTAGGTTGTCCCGCATACGCTCATGCTAATATGCGCAGTGCCGCGCAGCTGGCCATGTTGATTCTGAAGAACGGCGGCTCAGCGCTGGATGCTGTCGAGGCTGCAATCAAGACATTGGAAGATCGAGAAATCACCAATGCTGGCTATGGAAGCAACCTCGCAATGGACGGTGTGGTTGAGTGCGATGCCTCCGTGGTCGACCATTACGGGCGTAGCGGAGCTGTCGGGGCTGTCGCTCGTAAGTCTAGCAACTAAAGGCTATGGTCCAGTATTGACAATGATTACAGAAATCAAAAACCCTATTTCGCTAGCACGAATGGTGCACGACCACACGATGAGTCCACTTACGCTGCGTCGAGTCCCTCCAAACCTCTTGGTGTCGCAGGGTGCCACCGACTTTGCTGTGGAGATGGGCATGCCGATTCTGCCCCACGACGCACTCATTTCTCCCGCCGCGAAAGAGCGCTGGATGCGGTGGCGTTCCGACTTGAGGTCTGCCGAGCGCAAGTCCAGGAAGAGCGGCGCCCACCCGTCCTGTTGGAAGATCAGGGACAATGTGGCGCCAGCGGATGAGCGAGCGCACGAACGCGTGCGCGAACAACACACCCAAAACCTGCTACGCACCCACAAATCCCTACTGCAGTCACAGTCACCTCCGCTTTCCGACGATGTGATGTACGACCAAGCCGAGAATGCATCTTCCGACCCTTCAGTTCCTCCTTCCGAGCAGTCGTCGAGCTCTTGGATAAGCGATGAGCAGACGAGTGCACCCGAACTGATCGATCAAGCCCCATCGCCTGCTGACGTACGCCCACCTACTGTTGCGGATGCTTCTCGCAATGCCTTTGTCAACAGCACCCAACAGATCCCTACCCTGAAAGAGTATCGTCGCGATGCAGGCTACGAGAGCATTATGGAAGATGCGCAGATGGAGGACATGACCTACGCACCAAAGCCACGCAAAGCATGGGCTGATGGGTCTGGGGAGGATTTTGACTCTGATTCGAGCGCGCAGACAGCAAAAGGCAATCCCGTGGAGAGCTCTCAGTGTGATGGTGTCGACACTCGTCTGCCACAGACTCCTGACGAGAACTCAGTCAATTCGAAGTTCGCTACCGCATCGACACCTCTGAGTCACGTCAGAGAGACCGCGCCACTACCGCCGATGCCATCTAATGCGAGCCGCCATGACGCCGAGGAAGATCACATCACCGACACCGTTGGGGCTATCGCAATAGACAGCTGGGGCAACATTGCTTGCGGTGCATCTTCTGGTGGCATTGGCATGAAGTACCGCGGACGTGTGGGGCCAGCAGCTCTCGTCGGTGTTGGTGCTGCAGTCATTCCCGTGGACCCAGACGACCCCGAGCAGACCTCTGTCGCGACTGTCACAAGCGGAACCGGTGAGCATATGGCAACCACCATGGCCGCTACGGTATGCGCCGAGCGTCTCTATCAGAGCGTGAAGAAGAGCCGCGGCGGTGACTATGTCGAGGTTACCGAGGACGAAGCTCTCAAGGCAATGATCGAGAACGAGTTTATGGGTATACAGTTCTTGTCGCTGTCATGTGCAATATACTAACTTCATGCCAGGTCACCCAAGTGTCAAGCACAGCAATTCCGCAGGCGCCATCGGCATCCTTGGCGTCAAGAAGATGCGCTCCGGCATGCTGCTCTACTACGGACATAATACCGACTCGTTCGCCATGGCATCCATGTCATCCGAAGACGACCGACCCGCCTGCTCAATGTCACGCAGCAACGGCAACGGCCAGATCGCACAGGGTGGACGGATGATGCCCATGAGGCGCAACAAGAAGACCAAGTCTACCCCTCGCCGATGACCGTGGTCATGCGCGGGTACCTGAGCTGCTGCCCTAAGAACCTATATCTCTTAACGCATTGAGCCTCAACCCGGATGTTAGCCAATGAGCGTTTGTCACTGCCTATGTTCCTGTTTTCCTTTCCTTCGTGTAAAAGCATATGCATCTATGGTAGTTCTATACCCCTGCATGGTAGTTGTGTTTCCTGTCCTTCTTCCATCAGCGAGCGGTGCTTTAGGAATCTCACAACAGTATTGTTAGCCAAGAAAAGTTTACCTGTGTTCGAATGGGGAGACATGTAGTGCAAGGTTTAGACGATTAGCGATGAAATTCACGAGCATCATTGCATCCAGCTCGCATGTACCTGACTTTTCTTATGTAAGTCTTGCTGTTTCTCGCCATCTCTACCGCTGCTTGACATAGTCTGCACGTAGTCTTAGTGCACATGTTGTAAATCCGGAGAGCCGCTTGACATAAGCAGCGAAGGAGGTGAAATCCATGGACGGCCCGAGCGATTACCCACGTATGGACTAGCTTCCGTACTCCCCGCAACTGAACACTGCCCTCGACTTCGCATCTTTGCATCTTCAACCATAACACTATAATCGCTAAGTAACACTACGGGCATTCTCCTCGTACCACCCAACAGTTTCAGCACTGTAAGTCGTCACTCTATGAAACCTTCGGTCGCTGTTCGTGATACTGAACAAAGAAAGCAACTATACACCATGCCCACTACAACGAGACCATCGGGGCCCACACCCGTTCCGGAAGCGAGATCTTCTAGTCACTATGATTTGATCTGGCCTCTCCATCGCTGGCACTACGACGTGCCATCCTCGCAACCAAAAACCTTTGCCATCATCGAGGGCGAGCTACGTCGCCTACCTCTTTTTTTCGTGAGAGCGCCTATCCGCTCGAGGACACGAAAGCATTACTTCGCAATGGTCAGTAGCCAAGAGACAGGTATCTACGAGGGCAGCTTCGAAAGCTTTCGGGGGTACATTGCTGGCTATCCCGATGGTCTAGTGGCAAACTTCGAGACCAAGACGAAGGCGGAAGCATGGTTGGAAACCATGCTACCGTCTATAAGCGTGTACAAAGAAATAGTCTTGCCTAGGCTCTTGCGAAAGAAGAGGTACTATGTCATAACAGGTGGGTGCCAACGAGGCATCACCCGGGAAGGCCCATTTGGTCGCTTTTACAACGCATAATTTGGAGCTTCTCAGACTCTGTTAGAAGTCCAAGTTTGGTTGGAAACGGTAGTTGAAGACGGTGGTTGGAGACAACGGCTGAAAACGGACAGGAGGTGGAGGGATTTACTAAAATCGAATATATTCATCAAGGAACTTCTTTATCACCCATCATGCACGCAGCAAGTTTCGCGATTTAGAAAGCTCTGTATAGCCTTTTTCACGTCTCGTATGTGCAGTGAACCTCGATCAGGCTCTTCGTGTTCCTCGCGCCAAGCACGTTGCTGACAGTCTACGCTCTTCACTTTTAAGTTTGAGATCCTCGTCAAAACATTAGCAATATACTGCTATCGAGGTATGCACTGGTGTCACATGATGCTGAAGTACTGCAGAAGTCAGGACCAAACGTGTGAGAAATCTGTACACTCTGTATCTTGCGTTGAGACGTGGAACTTTGTTCGTCTCATCAGTACAGAGTTTCCACGAAGAAGTCTCACTGACGCAAGTACGCTGTAAGAGGCTAAGCACCCAAGAAAATTGCTGGATCGAGGTTCGTAACGAATTCCGTCATCTGGACGGGGTTATGTGATCAGTGCGAGTACCCCCACACTACCACCTGAGCAGTATCTCATGATTCAGTAGCCGGCGACATGTGTTACTCCTCACATGACATCTGGCTTTGATTCGTGCATCTGTGTACCATCCGAGGTCGGCGCGGCACCACGCGGCATCATGCCAGGGCGGGGCCAGTTACCACCTAGGAAACATCTTACGGGGACGTCAGCGTTTCGCATTCCCCGCGCCCTGCGCCTAGGAAGGTCCCTGAAGATACCCAGTCGCTAGCGCAACGATAACGACCGTTCCAAACTCTGGAAAACGACCGAGTTTGAAGCGTTGGCTAATTCATGTCGAAGAAATGGCATCTTCCGACCATCATGTCTCATACCCTGGGATTTCGAGGTTACGACAACTCCTGCCGTCCGAGTAAGAATAGCAGCCCAACATTGCGGTTTGGCAGCATGTAAAACCCTCGCAATGTAACGTTCTTGTAAGGTGCCGAATTAACACCGATCGAACTACCTAGGTACACTTCTCCGGACCCTGTCAGACTTGACGATCCCGAGGCTGCGCAAGACTGGAACAAGGCTTAGCACATGAGGCATGAACACGGAATCTCCAAACTCCAAAAGCCTCTATGTGATTGGAACTTAGAGCATGCCCGCTTGGAGCGGCGCCCGACAAAGATCTCACCAAAGCGGGCGAGCTGTAGGCGCAATCTCCACATCCTCTACGTGAGTATCATAACGCCGTTCAGTTCGCATCTTCGACAAACTAGCCGCAATTATCATCATAATCATCTTCGCTGTTGTTTGGCATCGCTTGCAGACACACCTGGGCAGTTTAACGCTGAAAAGATCAATCACGTGAGTGAGAGCTTCGTCCGTGTTGTAGCTAGGTTGTTCATAATACTGAGTAACCATAGAAGCCTTTCCTTCAGGACAATAGTGGTCATGGCATTCGATAACAACGCAACGAGGTCGACAACCCAACAGTCAGCAAGTCTGGGTCTCGTTCATTCACCCTCCACGAGAACATACCCGAATGATCCTTTGATGCAGATGCGGATCAAGTCCTGGGCAGTCATTACGAGAAAGGGGCAGTATATCTACAACGGTCTACGGCTTGTGCAGTTGTTTCATGGTGGACAAATCGATGTGTTGGTGCAAGGATTTGGGGATGAAGCAGCGGCACGAGCATGGCTAAAGCAGATCGCTCAATGCACGGAGGAGCTTAACACTTGCTGCGATGAAGTCAATGTTGTAAAGCAAGGGAGTCTGCTGACGCCCACCATGTACGCGGCATTGTTCCTGTACTAGACAGCCTCAAAGAGTCTTCAGCATACATAGGTAGTTGGCCCTCACTATTGTCTCGGATGTAGTAGATAGCTAAGCACCATTAAATTCGTTTAAACGTCTTCAGTTTTGTCCAGATGTGATGCCTCAAAAAGCTCAGGACTCCAAGCCAGTACAACGATGGCCGCGTTGAGGTTGCCAGATGACTACCCACATTCATGAAAAGCCTTGCAGGAACGCACATGTGTCTAATTCGACCAAGATCGGAGCAAATGGCGGGGGATGCAAGCCGCACCTCTTTGCCCAGCTTGTGAGCGCTCTGATTCTGATCGTAATCTCTCTAAGCGCTTGGGTACGGTGACTGATACCCGAGGAGGTGCTTACGCGTCTACATCGTCTCAAAGAAATGGTAACTGGTTCGGCCAAACTTTCTATAGAGTTACATGGCTCGTCGAAGAGCACTACGAATAGATGGTACTCGGGCTCTGAGGACTTTTGGAGCATGGTGTTCTTCGGAGGCATCTGCTAGCATTGTTCAAGGTATCTATGGAGGCGACCGGGATGTGATAACTGGCCGAAGTAGCCGCGATATCGGTACCTTGCGGCTAACTACGTATCGAGCTCGTGCTCAAGCATATGTATATCCGTTACGACTTTGCAAACAATACAAGCATATGTCAGGCCCTCACATTAACTTAATTGGGTGAATACGTAGTGTATAACATGGGTGTATATGTGCGGAGGCGAATGCATTGACGCCGGTACCTTTTCGGGATTATCAATGCTCAGCTTCGCCTCAGTAACGTAGCGTTGGGTCGAAGGATTTCTCAGGTCACTTTTCAAAGGTGGGTCGTAGTGAGATTTTCGGTAGGCCCGAACCGTAAAGTTTGGGCTATCGATAGCTTGCCGTGTTCCCTTGTGTAGGGTGCATTACTCGAACAGGTAAGCGTTCACCTCGACTATACAACTACACCTGCATCTTGGCTTTCGTAGACAACACCAGATCAAGACAGGCTGGCTGAATTGCTGGGTAACATGCTTGCACGTTCGAGCTCAACAGTTTCGAATCCACGCTACTCATAACACACCATTCTCGGTTCAATCAAATCTTGCTAGCTGCTCCGAGAGTGTGCCTTACTCTGGGTACCAGAGCGCTGAAGACGGCGCAGGGAAGCATCACGGCCTCACCCTGAATATGGAATGTGACGCTACTAAGACTGCTCTAGCTTCAGCCATCAAGTGAACGGCAATGCTTTTCGGCTTTTCTGGCAAAAATTTCTGCGGAACCGGAGAAAGAGTTGTACGGAGAGGTATTCTCCGCAGGCATTCTGGTAGGGATCCGTAGGTTGAGGGTGTGCGCAACCTTGAAAGAGCTCATATTGTATACTACCCAAGCAACCGGAAACATATGGCCCGACGGTGCCATCAGTCGCCCTGGACGTAAGCTGAGAGATCAACCCGAAAGCGGGTGCGTATTTTCATGTCGCCGTTCAATCTCAACGAGCATATGTTAAAGTTGCTACATTACTCATCTGGCCACTCTGGTATAGAGGGTTTGGCATACTTAAACTCCGCTGCGCCTCCCTTTTATGTATCTCGGTACTGAACATTGCCTTCTTCAATCACACAATCAATTCACTGCACGAATTCCATTCCAAAGATGCCTCCACCAAAGACCCCGAGAGTGAAGAAAGCCGATGCAACCAACACTGGCCCTTCACCAGACGAGCCGCCTCGTACCTTCCTTGGAGACTGGCTTTTAAGCTGGTACATACCGTATTGCCAGCCCCTGTATAGGAAAGGCCAATGGTTCTGTACGTGCTCAACTTTGGGACTACGTTGATCATGACTAACAAATTTGCAGGTCGATGTGAGGATAGGCAACAGCCTAAGTTTGCTCTGAAGCCACTCCTCGGCGCAAACGACCGGATCTGTAAGGCATCATGCACTCAGTTTGCGGCCAAAGACTAACCTTTCCCCAGATTTTACTTGCTCTCGAGGTTACGGTCACCCCAAGGAGTGCAGGTTTCGATTTGAGCTGGCCGAGCTCGAATGGCTCTCTCATAAGATCGACATGGAGCGGAAGGGCAAGGTCCTGCCAGACGAAGAAGGCACACCGTCTGCCTCTTCTTCTACCCGACCCAAGAGACGAACGCCAACCGCTCGAGCGACCGACATGGACCGCGAGGACGAGCTCCCAACGGACGATGAAGACGTACCCGCAGCATCTTCATCAGCTCCGGCCAAGAGACGAACGCCAACTACTCGAGCGACCGACATGGACCGCGAGGACGAGCTCCCAACGGATGATGAATACCTACCCGCAGCATCTTCATCAGCTCCCGGCAAAAGACGTATCATAACCCCGCGCAAGGGCCGACGTGTTCCAACTCCCACCGTACCAACGGATGACGAGGTCGAATCGAGCATGCCTGTCCAGTCCAGTGCAGCTGGACCCTCTTCGAGGAGGAGAACCTTAGCGTCAGTCAACACCCCGACCCCAGGGGGAAGCGCGGGTAAGCGACCAGCCCCGCCGGAATTTGACTCAGACGAGGTTGAGGAGGTGCCACCCCCATACCACTCCCATCCCGGCTTCCCGAAGCCAGAACGTGACAACAACCGTCGCCCTGCGAAGCGATCTAAAGGGTCCGGGGCCGGAGCCAAGAGGTACTACGTGGTGATCGAGGGCTTCGAGAGAGGTATCATCTACGACACCTGGCAGGGCTGTAGACACGTCATCGACCGGTACCCCGGATCTGTGCACTTCAGCGCCCCGACTAAGGCTGTGGCGATCAAGCTGTGGAGGGAGAACACAGATGCGCCGGTTCCCGACGTGAAGCTGAGGACCGAATTGACCAAGGAAGACTGCGTGGGTCCGGAGCACAACCTGCCGACGTACTACAACCCCAGCAGTCCCAAGTTGCAGCCTTTCTCGTGGCCCAAGGCCATACGGGTCTTCGTGAGTGAGTACTCGCGACTCAGCAACAAGCTCGAGACGGCGAGCTTGAAGGACGATATACGCGGCTTCCTCACTGAGTGCAATGCCTTGGTCAGTCCAAGCGCGAGCAAGAGACTCGATGCTTTGGTGAGGAACCACATTACGATGATCGATGGGTTGAAGCAAGACCACAAGCTGGAGGTCAAGCGCCTTACCGATGAACTGACGACACTGAAGATGGTGATCTACGACCGTCTCCAAGATTCGCAGCGATACTAGTTGATTTCCTGACTCCATCTCCTTGGTCAGATCCTGTCAAGTCTTTCCTTCACTGTTACCGCACACTCCTTTTGCATGTGTCTTCTCGCGTGTGGGTATCTATGGTCTTGGCGTATCGGGTTTCCTAGGAAAAAATGCGTGGGGCTGGTTGATCGCCTGTAAGAGGGAAAGGTAGCTGTACATAGCATGAATTCCAAACCATCCCACGCAATACCTTCTGCCTCATCCTTTGCTGACACTGCTTCACACTGCTTCTTGTTTCGCTCGCTCGCTCAATGTTTAACATCGTTTGGTCTTGCTATCCCAACGCCGCGTACTTGTGGCTATACACGAACGTGCCTCAAACACACTTGTTCGCCTTCAGCACGCTATGGAGGAGCGCTCGACCAAGCTCTGGGGTCTTGCAGGGGATGGTCGCGGGGTGGTTGGATCCCCAGAATGTGGTATCTGATGACTGTCGTATGAAGAGTAGGCTCGCCCCCAATATATACAACCAAAGTACCCTTGCGAAAAGACCCCTCAGGCTCGAGCGCGAAAGACAGAGAAGAGTAGGCTCGCCTGACACCTCACGTCGGCAGAGACTGCCTGCACCCTGCAAGTTAGCAAAGTGGGGTACGGGTCTACCCGTGGTAGCGCATCTTTACTGCTGTTAGTAGGGTCTCGCTCCTTGGGTTCTGGCATGGGTGCTACGTCACCACGGGTGTTTTAGAGCGTCTGGAGCACTCACCCTGTTACGCAGCTCGCGCTTTAAACGAGAAGTAACTGTGGTTCTTCTCTTGTTGTCGCTGAAGTTGTTGTGAGCAGTGTCGTCATAGCGCAGGGTAATCTCTTAGTATGTGATGTCACTTCATAGTACTATGGAACGGCGCGTGATGCGCAATCCGAGGAAACCAATATTGCGAGTGAACAAGTGGGTTTACATGCACGAGAACTGATAAAGGCGAAGTCCACGGTACGAAAGAGAACTGCCAAGGCCTAGCTGGCAGGGCCGAGTTTCACCGAGCGGAGTGATGTCTAGCCAATAAGCATCATGTCAATGCGCGGCCACACATCTTCCTGCTGCGACGCCGAAAGAATAGAGTGCGCCTTTAACTCAGACGGCGGCCTGGTCCTGGTTCGAGCTGGTCATTGAGACGGAGCTCTTGTACACGCTGCGATTACTATAGCTTTGATGTTGCAGATGGTTTTTCTTATCTACCAGGTAACAGGCACTTGCCCCGATAGCACGTGGTAATGTTCGCCAGCCTGATAGCTGGACCGTTGAATGCCGTCTATGTCGACTAGAAACGACATGGTGTGGATGTTAGGAAAACAACAGAACCTTGGAACATTTCAATGATCATGGGCTTCCCATCTGGGTGGCCGTACAGTAGCTAGGCAGCTTTGTGTCGCAAAGTGTCGCAAAGTTCATTGTAATACTGCACTTCTTGGAGGTTAATATCTAGGTGCTCAAGGCAAGGGTAAAACGAAGTGTTGCGATACACCTAACGAGGGGTGCCTAGCAAGAACACGTTGCGTGTCCGCTTGACCCCGCCGGGATTGCGGTAGATGAATTTGTGGGCTTGTAACGACCTCAGTTCTTGCCACTGCTAATGGTATAACACTGCAAATCTTGGTGATCCATGCTGTATCCTGCCTTCGATTGCCCATGCGTTCACTGTGCTTGCCGCTACACCACCGATCTGCCAACCATGTGATGTCTACCTAGCTCAGTATCTCGACTAATTAACCTTGGAGAACACAATATACATAAGGAAAAAGGACATGTATCGGTTTTGATGATGCATCTCGCGATTGAAGTCATAAGGAGCCGACATGAGGCGTCGTAAGGGGTGGCTGATCGTGGCGCAGGGGCTCAATGTTCGCCCATCTCGGCAAACCTTCTCATGCGACACCACTTCCCCACGGCCAACGCTGACTGGCTGCATGTACCGTCAGCATGTGCAAGGCCAAAAACGCACCCAGACATACGCCCATCCAGTCGAGTACACGTTAGCTGTGCTCGCCCCAATCAAAGGTCCCTAGCTTGTTCACTTCCGGGATCGTGTTAGGGGTGAGACCATCCCAACATTAGTCGAAGATTGACCCAAAAGACATGACGGATGACATCACCCATGTTGCGGTCATAGACGGGCATCACTAGGCGAGCATGATCTACTAGACTTGCGATGATGCAACAGCTGTTGTCGCGTTACCATGATGAAGTCATAGATTTTTGCGACCCGCCTCGGCCAAAACAGTATTCACAAAGTCCGCACATGCATCAGGAGATTAGTCACGGATCACAGCCTTGGTAGGAGAGAAGAGTCTGGAAGACTAGTCACGTGTTCCTATAAACAGATATGCACCCAGTGCTGCATCAAAACCTACATACAAAGCGATACTACCGTCCAACGAGTGCAAACATGTGAAAGCGTAAGAAAACAATGCAAGTAAGGAATAAATTGTTAAAACACTGTACTCCTAAGACGCGTAACTGACAGCTACACCTCATAGCGGAAGCCCGATTGCGCCGCCGCCAGGTGATGATTGACGGCCCTAATCCCGGACGGACTTGGACGAGGCCTGCGGTCGGAATTGCGAGACACCACGGCATCATCGTCGTCGTCGTCGTCATCTTCTCCGTCCTCGTCTTCATATTGTCCATTGTCCTCTCCATTGTTCTCTTCATCGTCATTCTCATCATATTCATCTCCAAATACTTCTTCGTCGTCGGCTTCGGTTTCGGTCCCGGCGTCGTCGTCGTCGTCGTCGTTGTTGTCGTCGTTGTTGTCGTCGTTGTTGTCGTCGTTGTTGTCGTCGTTGTTGTCTTCCCATGGGCCTCGAATGGGCGAAGAGAAGTCGCTTTCACCCGAGACGCTGTCGTCGGAGTAATCGTGGAGCACGTCGTCCACTGATACTCTCCCAGTCTCTCCAGTAGTCGGTGTTGTATGGCGCGGTGCGGCAGCAGGATCATCGATGGGTGACCGGCTAGAGCCTTCCCCTGCCTCGGGTTCGGTATGGCCTCCGGCTTGATTGGAGGTGGCGTTGGAACGTCGCTTCCGGGGTGTTGGACCTAGTTGATTGTCCAGTGGAGCCTTTCGCTTCTGCACCGGCTTCTTCTCCTGGGCCTTCAACACCTCCAGCCAGTGCACCTCCCCGTTGTCGATACGTGCGAGTTCCTTCTGTATCCGGTTGTGTTCTTCGATCGCATCAGGATGTCTGCATCGCGGGATGTTGGTGGCCTCGTGGCGAGTGCTCAGCTTCTGCTCTTTCGTCGCTGTTTCGTTGAACTTGACGCAATTCGTGCAAAGCTTGTTGTCGTCTTCCCAGGGCTTGACACTGCACTTGCCTTTGATGTGTGGTCCAGCGCAGCGTGAGCAGGCTGGTTTCGCTTCACAGTGCTGTCGTCGGGTACCCGTTGACTCGTGTTTGAAGCCTTGGCAATTGTAGCATTGTCTGCGCCGAACTGCCTCCGTGGTAGGCTTGACATCGTGGCCTAGGAAACGATTAGTGATACTTCTGGTATGCTGTTTATTGAAAGCTTACCAGAACCATTGACGATCAAATCCTGGGTGAATTCTTTCGTCTGATCCGAGAACTTGGCAAGCACGTCCAGATCATTGGTAGTCAGGGTCAAATCGCTATGACCCCAGGGGGTGCATGCCTCAATCTGACCTGGCTTCAGCTTGAAGTGTGCCTCGAGTTCTTTCTTGGCGTCCGCGGCAGCGTCGATCATGGTATCACAGTGCTTCTGAGGATATCCGCCGATCTTGAGCATGTACTGCTGTTGAATCAATCCTTGGCACGTGGCGGTTGAGCCGAGTCCGAAAGAAGGTGGAATCTTCTTCTTCATCGCGACCAAGAGTTGGTGGGAATCTTGAGCATCTTTCGTGACGAGGTGGATATCACGACCTTTCGTGATGATGTAAACAACTTTGTCGTAGCCCTTGCCTGCGCGACGCATTGCTTCGAGAAGGGTAGGGGCATAGTCCCGCTTGCTCACGAAAGAGCCAAAGTCGGTTCTTGACAAACGCACGTAGACACCGCATTGGGGAATTGGAAATTTACGAGGAGTAGCGCGGGGAGCCATGATGATGGAAGAAGTGCGTAGTTAAAAAAACGAAAAGCGAGTGAGTGATTGATGCAGCCGTTACTCAAAGACGCGAGGCGTAGGCTCAGCCATAAAGTAATACATCTTCAACGTCTTCAGTGCTTTAGGGCATGTGTAAGTTGTCTCAATGCATGAGCCCGATTAGGGCTAGGAGCTGCCCAAGAAACCGACGACAGATCACAGCATGATGGGCACCTACGTTGAACCGGGCCTTCATCAAAAAGTTCGCGTTGAGCCGCCGCGTCGATCAAGGGGCTCCGAGGGTATGCCGAAACAAGGGGACCTGGACGGGAAGATGACATGGGTTCCTGTAGGCCCGATATGACCACCCATGTATGCTCATGAACCTTATACATAGTGTAAGATGCAAGGGGCGTTCTTAGGCACTGGAGGGCCGATAGCACGGATGAAGGCGGAAGCGGCTTACACTGTATGCGGGGTTACGAGCGCAGCAGAGGGAAAGTGCGGGAGGTCCATTCCCCCCAGGAGGAATCAACTGGGCGGTTCTCGTGGAGGCCTCGTTCACCACGCCCCGCCGTCATCGTCGTGCAAACAGCAGCCTTGCGGAACCCATTCATGGCGAGCAATGTTGGGTCTCATCACAGCACTCTCTCCCGATGACTGCTCTTCTCCTTCGTTTTCTTTTGGCTTTCTACTTCCTCAGTTACGCTGTAACCACAATGCCGCTGTCTGAGCCTTCGTCCATGCGAAAGCGCCCTTTTAAGTTCCTCCAGGCGAACCTCAACGGTGTTAGGAATGCCCAACGAGCTCTGCTAGAACATGGACTCAGCAAAGACAAGTGGGATCTCATCCTCATCCAGGAGGCAGCTCGAGGAACAGCATCCATCGGCGCAGAATCCTACGGCTACGTTCTGATCCGGAGTAGCAGACTGCGCGAGCAGCCAGGTAGAAACATCTCGACCTGCGTCTACGCTAGGAAGGACAGCGACCTCGGCATACCCAGCTATGTCCCCCTTGAGGATGACGAATGTACTTGCTCCGGCGAAGCTCGGGAGTCGCATATCGAGCACATCTGCACTGTCGTCTACGATCTGCCTGATGGCGACAGGCTTTATGCGACAAACATCTACAATCGTAAGAGCGATAAGTTGTCTGAAGATTGTCTGACAACACATCTGCAATACGACGGCCATCTTTTCCTTGCAGGAGACTTCAACATGCACGACCTCGACTGGGAGAGGGGTTTACGCAAACCCAACTCCAGGCCCGAGCCCCTCACTCAGCGATTCAAGGAACAAGTTCGAGTTCGCGGGTTGCGGCTACTTACCCAGACGGGCGGAGAGCCTACGTGGCGCAACGGCTACAGGTTCTCCATAATCGACCTGACTATGGCCTCACCCGAGCTGAGCTGCTCCGCGGCGAAGCTCAGGCAGGACTTGAAGATGGCCGGAGTGGACCACGTCTCTATCGAGACCACCGGTCAGGTTATGACTGACCCACGCCCCATCCGTACTTTGGATTGGAAGAATGCCGACATCGCCGGTATCGAGCAGGCAACCACCAACTTTATACAAAGCGTGCAGCCACTGCCTTTGGATACAGTTGAGCAGGTCAGACGCCGGTCACGGGACCTCATGGCAGCCTTCAAGTCTATCGTGGCTACTTTCGTACCCGTCGTACCCCGCTCGCCCTTTCTGCGCTTCAAGATCGACACGCCAGAGATAAATGAGCTCACCACTCGAGTCGAGGCCGCCCGTGTCGAAAGCGACGAAGCGCATCGCAAATCACGGAACATGCACGCGTCCTTGAACCACGACAACAACTTTCGCACCGCCGTCTTCGCGCCGTACCATGCCAGAGAGCGCGAATGGCTAAGGATGTCCAAAGATCTGGACAAGCTTCGAGACATTGAGTTCAACAGACAATGGCGCACTTCATACAGCGGTATCTGCAAGTGGTCGTGGTATCGCTATACCAAACGGAAGGGGAAGCCACGAGCACCGGTGAACGTACCACACTTTCGCGTGTTAGACCGTCATGGCAACTTCGTGGGACGCACGACTAGTGCTTACCAGAAAGTCTTGACTCTTCATCGTAAATGGCACGGTAAACTGCGGCGTGAAGACAGGAACGAGGAACCGACCGTTCGTATCCCGGAGACACCCGAGTCAAGCACTCCTTCGTCGCCTTCGCAGAAAGTCTCTGTGGATGACCTAACGATGATCGTCAATAAGCTGAAGCCAGGCACATCAGCTGGGTACGACGAAATTGGCCCTCGTTTCATCATCGAATTCTCCCCTCTGTTCATCGAGTATCTCGCGCGTCTCTGGAGTGCTTGTCTCCGGCTGGCTTACTTCCCCGACGTCTTCAAGATAGGCCGCACCATTCCGATTCCCAAGGTCCTCGGCTTTGGTGCGCTTTTCGACCTTCCGAATCACTTTCGACCCATTTGTCTCTTGTCGTCTATAGGGAAAACACTCGAATCGTATTTGGCCAACGTGTTGGCTGAATACGCCCAGCTTCACAACCTGCTCCCGGCTACGCAGTATGCAGCTAGAGGCCGTTCGATCAACCATGCGTTACTGTACCTCAACGGACTCATCGAGAGGGCAGCGCGCAAAGGTCTCGCCATATCTGTCATGTGTATGGACCAAGCGGGAGCGTTCAATGCCGTCCTCTTCCGCGAGCTCTTGCGTGTGTTCCGCTCCATGCAGATTCCGGAATGGATTATCGCCATGGTTTCGTCTTATCTCTGTGGTCGCTGGACAACCGTCCGCATACCTGGTTTCGAATCTGAACCAATGCGATGCGGAGGCGTACCCCAGGGAAGCCCACTTTCGCCTATCCTCTTCGCCTTCTTTACCTCTAGACTATTGGAAGTAGAAGAGGTACCAGGCGATGAGGGGCGCGTTTTCAAGTTCGCATTCTCTGACGACACTTACTTCATGGTCATTGGTACTTCCATGAAGGAGATCAAGCCGGAACTTGCTCGCCAGAACCAAGCTTGCCAACGATGGGCGAAGGAATCGGGTGCAAGCTTCAACCCTGCCAAGACTAAAGTCATACATTTCGCCTCCCCAGCTCAGAACGACGCTCCACCGATGTCGCACTACATTCCGGGTTTCGACGACAAACTGGAGTTCGATTGCACAACCACCGGCAAGGACGACTACATGACAATCCTTGGTGTACGCTTCGCTGTGAACTCACGTGGATTTGCCACGTGGGATTCTCAATGGGCTTGGGTAGTGGAACAGTATGCCAGCTTGACGAAGGACTTCAGTCGGATTGTCAAGTCTACGTACGGATTGAGTGTCGTAGAGTCTTCACAGGTCTCCAAGGCTGGCGCTCGGGCTTCGATTATGACTGGTTCTGTCATTTGGATGCAGTATGCTGACAACCCTTGGTTTCTCCAAAAGCCCTCTGATAGGACGACAGCTGACTCGGACGATACGAAGACATACGCGGACGCCAACCCTTCGATGCCATATTTCACACCCAACAAGGTACGAGCCCGTCGACAAGCACTATTCCAGAAGATGGGCAACAAGTTCCAGCGCATGGCGCTTGGCTCATTCACAAGAGCACCTCGTTGGTACCTTCGTGCCGAACTCGGAGAGGAGCCATGGGACCTTTTCGCCTTTCGATCGAACCTGACTTTACTCGCAAACATCATGAGCACACCGGAATGGGATACCATCGATTCGGCCAGGAACCGTGTCGAAGAATACGCGCAGAAGGTCTACCATACCGATGTTCAAGAGCTTCGCGGAGGTCGTGTCCGCGACTTTCTTTCACCGAGCCAGTTAATGGAACAGCGGGCGGCGGAGTGGAGGCAAGCCGCCATGCGTTACATTGAGGAAGAAGACGAGCAAGAAGGCGCTACCATCCCGGACGACGGCATTGAAGGCCCCCTGTCGCAAGACGGTGTCGCTGCCTTGGACGAGTTCCGCCGAACGATGGGTGACCTGCCAGATGCAGAAGACGACTCTGATCAACCCATCGATTCAACTGCTCAGCGACTGAAGCTCAGACTCAAAGTCACATCGAAGAAGTTCTCGCACCGGGTCGTCAAGAGCCACTTCAACCATTGGCGCCAGAGGAAGTATGACGCCTTGGTGAAGAACGACCCTAAGAGAATCATCCCTCCGGCTCTACGGCAGAAGTGGAACGGCCAGGGCCTGAAGCGGTACCGTGGTCTCAAGAGGCCTTACGACTCCCTTCTCTTCGCCCTCCGCTCCGAGTACATCGGTCTTCTTCACCATCGACGCGAGCTCTGTGGATCCAAGATGGACGACTCGTACTGTCGGAGGTGTCGGCATATCAAGGGCAGGTATGAGACGATCACTCATCTCCTACACTATTGTCCTACGCTGGAGATGGAGCGTGAGGCACTGTACGACGAGGTCTTTGCTACAGTTCCTTCGATCAAGAGCAAAGCGGATATGAGGCGCGACATCATAGTGAAGGCGCCTGCACTCGTGGTCAAATTTGCTCTGGCACACTTTCCTATCGACCAGCTGGAGTGGACCAGGACGCACTTGATGGATCTGCTGAACCAGGAGGAGAACGACGAGTGAGGAGACACGTGGTCGCTATTGCGGCGTTGATTATCATCGATGGCTTGTTTCCATGCTGATATTGATGGATATGGAGACTGTTGGAGTATGTGGTAGTCGATGGGCGTGTGAAGACGATTGATGTGTGGAATGGTGGGCCTTGCGCTCGGTGATTGCATTGGTTTGGTATACGCGTTGAGTTTGGATAGACCTGGTGTTCTTTCCGCTCGAATGTATATGACTTGAGGCGTAGTTCTCGTTGGCTGAGACCGAGAACGGGGCGCCTGTCATAGTGTTAGAGTACTGTAGTCTTGAAATACTTCCTTAGCAGAATCAAACCTTTCCTTCCTTAGACTTTACATTCAATGTACTGGCACTAGACGAACTGGACGATCTGAACGATCAACTGGACGACCCATTGCTCATGATAGCTACCTAGCTATCTCTGCCACATCCCTCTGCCCCCCTTGTCCATGCCGACGGTACGTAGCCACATCCCTACCGCTCCCGTGATACCTTTCTACAAGCTCGGCGCACGCACGATATCTTAGTGCTATTGCTTTAGACTTTGGCAACAGGTGCGATCTCGTAACGCTGTCTGCCTGAAGCTATAGTCTCTAAGCTTAGTGGTCGTCGCATCGTCTCTTGTGCTGAACTCGCGATCAATCCTTTGGCAAGAAGATGTAACTAACAGCCCCGAAGTCAGATGAAGATCTCGTATCCGGCCAGGATGGCTGGCACCCGCTTGTGGTAAGTTCATGAACTCTACAACGACGAGCGAATACAGCTGACTTGACGACTGCAGTCGTGCCTTGTCATCGAACGCGGCGTCCAGGATAGCACGCTCGTGAGGTGTTGGCTGAGAGCCTGGCAGCCGAAGTCGACGAACTAGATCTGATACCGCTGCCCTCTCGGCGATCAGGAAGTTCTTGGCTGCTGGGTTGTCGCCTATGAGGTACAACTGATGCTATGTTGCTGTGATGCTTGACTGTGCTAATATTGAGCAGATGTCAGCTACATACACTACATCCACATCCTCAGCACATGCGACATACCTTGGATCTCCTTGAGGAAGAGGGAGTACTCCCGTACGAGCCCAACACAATCTGATCAACAAAATCAGCTGGCGACATCAGCGCTAACACTGTACAGTGGCATTCCGGGTCCTTGTGCAACGCAACAGTGCAGCAGCGAAACCTCCAGGAGGGACAGGCCCAAAGACGACAATAGGATGGTGATAGGCAGATTCCAGCTTTGCTGTCTTCTCCCTCGCCACGGCAGACTCTATGGGGGATAGAGGCGTCATTGAGGTAGGTCTGGTGATGGCAAGAGGTGAACCTTCCTGACACACGCGCAGATGTTGGACGGTGGTGATGCGCCGCAGAAGCTGAGCCCGGTGGCTGGGTCGATGGCGAGCGTGTTGAAGGCCATGGGTGAGCGCTACGGGCTGGAGAATTTGGATGGTGTCGCTAACGAATAGTTGTGCGTGTGTGGTGTACTCAAGAAGCAGCACCCGCGGCAGTCGGTATGCGCCTTCGTTCCACCATGACGGCATGTCGACTAACAGCACGCAGCCTTTTATATTTCCTCCTCTTTGACTCACACCTGTGTGCGATTCCTTCTCTTGGTTGCCATCCACTTCATCCCATGGTACTGCGATGACGCAGAGCGAGTCAGTGCCAACAAGGAGCCTGGTGATGAAGAACGAAGCTGACACGCAGCTCCCAGAACGAGCCACTCACGACTTCCGCAACATCGACGACCTTGACGAAAAGATACTCTCACGAATGAGAGAAATCGCAAGTATAATACACTGTCAACCCTCCACCCACCAATGGTGGGTGGGCTCGCGCTAACCAACGTAGGTCGAGCCGGGCGGTCCTCCGAGTTGCAGCCTGTGCGCGGCGAGGGCTACGAACCTGTTCCGCTCTTTCGAGAGTGTGAGCAGAGCCAATTGTAACAGCACGCGAAGCCCGTGAGCTACCGAGCGATCGGCTCTCCGCATGAGCCGCATCGCATGCGCAATACCGACGTCGACGTCGTGATCGAGAGAAAGAGAGCGTTGGGGACAAGGCATCGCTGCCTGGCGCGGGCCGCTTCGGCGCGGACGAAGGGCGAAGGACGCAGGCGAAGAGCAGTGACATGGAGTCAAGAGTGTGGTTTATGGCCAGTGGGAGGGAGGCAACAGAGCCGACGATGTGAGATGGTCGAATGCGGGACGTCGCTGCGTGTTCGGCAGTCGTCTCAGCGCGGGCATGAGGCGGTCGGTGAAGGTGAACAGTGAGAGCGAGGGCGCGGCAGCCTACGCCACCAGGCGTTGAGCGTCATTGCGCGTGGCATGGGGCAGTGGGTGGAGGTGGAGTGGTCGTGGCAAGATGGACACATCCCGCGCCAGACGCGTCGCCGGGTGTTGGATAGTTGGTGGAGACGAAGAGCTGCGGATGCGAGACGGATCGACGCCGGGTCTTGCCAGACGTTCAGACGTCTTTCGAACCATGCGACAGGCGCTGCGCGGGTGTGGGGAGGATGTTGGGTCTGCTGGGGAGATGGTGGGAGACGTGGACGTGGAGTCGGTTTCGCGGAGCGCGACATGTTGGACGCGTACTCCGGGCCGAGGGCGGAGCGGGGCGGAGCTAGCGCAGTGGCACTTCATCAATCGCAGTCGGCGCTCCATCTGGCAATTACCACTACCATGGAACAACGTGAACTGATTTGTGTGTGACGCCGTAGCCTGAAGGAGAATGTGCCTACATGGCTCGTCAATGAGAGCAGCCCGAACAGTGACGTATTGGCTGAGTCACGCCAGGCAGCACGGACCAGCGTAAGCCAATCAACGATCGCTTGTTTGTTGGGAACCAGAGGCCTTCAAGGCGGCGACCCACGGTCTGTGTTCCCATCTACGAGTACAGTCATACCCTGCGGCTTCCGCCATGCAGGACGATATAAAGTCTCCTTGCCCCATCTCTACATCGGGGCAATCATGGCGACCAGAAAGTTCGCCCACTGGAACAGTTTCCCGTTTATGACCGCCCCGAGAACAAAATACTACTCTGGTCAGACACAATCACCATTCTTCCGACTGTCCCGCGAGATTCGGGATATCATATATGGATACTACCTTCTAGGAGAAAATGACCAAGGCTACCATTACGACAGTGAGACCGGGAAAATGCTCGAGCAACCACCATCATCAGAGCCTAAGCGCATTGTTCGCCTTGGTCTCATGATTACGTGCCGTATAGCTGCTGAAGAACTCAAGAACTGTACTTTCCGCAAGTTGCAGTTTAGTCCTCATCTTTCGCAGGATGATGGACAGGCTTTTCTAGGGCTTGCTTCGAGGGCTGGGCGGTTTCAATGCTGTAGGTGGTACTTTGAGCCTATAGTGTTGTCTTTACACTAACACGAACTGTTACAGTACTGAGATATGTGGACCGTCAAAAGCGACGGATGTTGATCAAAGTTGCCGAGCTGCTGCAGGATGAAGACTGGCTTGATCTGCATGATCGATTCCCATCGGTTCAAGGATGGTTCAAGCGATGCTTGATGCAGTCAGGTAAGCGGTAGACGTGCAAGTAGCATGTGGAAGGTACGCTAACTTCGCATACTCACCTCGACAGTGGCGGCCCGGGAAGATCAATTCAACAAGACAGAGGGAACTAGCGAGCGTCTCGCTTCACTTTCATTCAGTGACGCTCTTCAACACATTCTCATCCTGGCAAAGAACCGTAACCCGTCCAGGTTCGCAAAACTTGCTTGCACTGTATTTGGCGTAGGCCGCTGCCCACTCGTCGTCGAATACGTCACAGCATATAGCAACAACCTCTTTGTCGAAGGCGCCTTGTACGACATATTTTCCTGGCATCCTAGCTCGTGGAGTCTACCAAGCGACGACGAGCTCTCCAAACTGGAAGCGCTCATCTGCATGCCAGGGGATACAGATACTCGGCTGGCAATGACTGATGATGGAACGTTCTACTTTTCGGATGTAGCGGATCATCTTGAGTATTCGAATCTTTACCGACTTTGGTATTTCTCTGCAGCCTCCATCGCCATCGACTTCTGTGAGTACAGTTTCGAACTCTTCACATGCTCATTCAAACTTTATCATCCTTCAGCCTGGTACAACATGACACTAACAAAATTTAGTGCAGAAGCTGCCACGAGAACGGAGAGATAACCTGCGTACAATCATACTTAACGAGATTAAGGATGCTGCCTCACGTCCTGAGCACCATGCGCGCGGACTCATACCCTTCTGCCGAGAGAACCCCAAGCTTCATATACAAAGACGCATCAGGTTTTCTGCCAAGAAAGAATTCAGGGAAGATTTGGGCTGGATCTGGGACATGCAAGGATGTTTCCTGGAGATAATACCGTGGATCGAAGCAGCTTTGGAGTTATCGAAGCTTGGGATGCCTGCTCAATCCTTTACTCTCGTGGTCAATGGCGGGTCTGATTTCTGGCAAGTCTTCAAACATGCCGCAGCTTTGCAAGAAGCGATCCGCGAGTTGTATCGACGAAATGGACATCCAATACCGCCCGGGTCACATTCACCACGATATTACACCGTCTGGGACATCCCGGACAATTTCTCCATGACGATACGGAGCATTACGGAAGGCACATCCTGTTTTAGGTTAGACGATGGGGATTTGGGTGATATCTGGGATTCTGACGTCTTCTTTCATGAACGCATGAACTGGACCGAGGAGCAGTGGAGGAGAGATTGGTACAGAAACGTCGTCTATCCCAGTAGCTCCTTGGACGTCTTTCGGAAGACAGACAACGTTTACAGCAAACCTATGATCACGACGTCATGGCAAAATATCACAGCTGTTTAGAAGCTCAACAGGCATCCGGTCAGATGAGGGATGATGGATTGGTCCCAGTGTTGCTTCAGTCGAGGGCTGTTTCACCGCTTTCACGTGTCTCGAAGGACTGTCAAGCCAAAGGTCCGGTTCGGAGATGCTAGAGGATTTGGATCTTATCACGGCTTGTAGTCTGTCTGCGAAGGCAAGGTATGAGTGGGCGCATCGCGGTGATGGTAGTCATCGTGATCGATATAAGGTGGACGTGTGGTGGTTAGAAGAGGTGTCGCAAGTTGGGCGACGCATGCTTTCTTCATGTTGCTAGTGGATATGACGGCCAGGTTGGGGTTAGGACTGAGATGTCGAGTGTGATGATGATTTGCGGCGAGGCCTCCTAGCGTAGACGTACTCCCGTAGCAGATTCGTCTTTTACCAGCCTAATACACGTCACACACGCCATATACGCTTCATCCACGATAGAAATATTCATACGTTCTATCGTCTAGCGTCCATCCGATGTTGCATCCTCGGCGCCGTCCTTCAAGGTGCGTTCGCCACTCCATGCCTACCCACTGTGATACAACAGTCCTCCCAACTCACCTCGAGGTGCAATCCCTTCGCCTTTATTCAATACGAGGTTTTAGATATTGTTTGCGTCGTTTGTACTGCTGGAGTCGTCCTTGCCGACTTGGCTACTCGCCAACTACATTAGAAATGAGTTAGACTAACAGCACAAAGCAGCCTATGCGTCCGTCGGCATCAGCACCCGCACGTCGTACGGAGCGAGCATGTAGTTCATCCTCCTCCAGTAGGTGCACTCTTTTGTGTAAACAGGTCGAAGCTAAGTTCTACTCAACCGTGTTGGGTAGGCGCCTTGCTGCTAACGTGCGCAGGGCGGTCCTCAAGTTGCAGCCTGTCCGTCGGCGAGGGCTACGAACCTGTTCCACTCTTTTGAGAGCATGAGCAGAGCCAATGCAACACACGATTATTCCCATAACAACCAGTCGTATGCGAAAGTCGCAGCGCAGCGCAGCGCTTGCGCAATGCTCTCATCGGCGCGGCGGTCGACGCACGCGGGCTACCGGAGCCTTGAGATCGATCGATGCGGGGTGCCAACGGGCACTGGGTGTCATCTGGGCGCCGGCGCGGGACGGCTGGTGAGGGTGAGGGTGAAGGTCTATCGCGAGGTGATCGTGAGGTAAGTCAGCTGATGTTGAGCGGCGTCTGGGCTCGAGTGTGGAGCAGTCGATGGTGGAGAGTCAAGGATGCGGTGGGGGATGGCGGAAGGATCAGGCTGACAGTGAGAGATCTTCCAGCTCGGACGGCGGGTGCTAGCCAAGCGGGCGACGATGGTGAGCGACGGTGGTGAGCGACGATGAGGTGGTGTCGCGCGTGAGAGCGCGCGTCATCGGAGATAAGGGTGGCGGAGTTAGCGCAGCCGCACTGCGGCAATAAAGAAAGAGCTCCCTCTGCCAAACGCTATGCTTTGTTGCACGTCGTGATATGGTTTGCATAAGATGAACGCATAAGACTGTAAATACCATGCCGTGGATGGTTCGTTGAGTAGCGCTGGTGAGTCACCGTCAGAGTCACCGTCAGAGTCACCGCGAGGAGTACGGGCGGGCGGCTCTCGCTTAGCCAATCCGCGGTAGTCTGTTGCTTGCGCGAACCATGGTCCTTCATCGCAGTCACGCACCGCCTTTTTTCAAAGGAGATTGCTCTACAGTCACCATATATATACACCCGATATCTCCCTCCTGTCTTTCATATTGTTTCCCTTTATGGCGTCTAAGAAATTTGCCCACTGGAACGGGTTTCCGTTTATGACTGCGCCACGGACAAACTACTACTCCGCACAACTACAATCACCTCTCTTTCGCCTGCCTCGAGAAGTTCGAGATGCTATCTACGCTTACTATTCTTTCGGCCAAGACGGCTATCATTACGATAGCGAGACTGGCAAGATGCTCTACACGGTCGAGCCAAGACAAACGGTCCATCTGGGTCTGCTGATCACTTGCCGAATTGCACACGAAGAGCTTAAGCACATTGTCTTCCGAAAACTCCAATTCAAGACACATCATTCATATGATGAAGGCCTTTCATATATGGGCGTACGCTCACGTGCAGGTCGTTTCAAGTGTAGCAAGTTGCCCACTAGCATCTAACCGTACCCTATCGTCACTAACGCTTTATACCTGTAGTGTTGAGACTCGTTGAACGACAGAAGCGACGAATGTTAATCAAGGTGTTTGAGCTGCTACAGCCTGACGACTTACACGAACTGTATACTCGCTTCCCTACGGTCAAGAGATGGTTCGATATACCGTTGCGGCAATCAGTGGTTGAACAAGTCGACAAACTGGAAGCGACCGAGGGCTTCTCTGGGGACGAGGAGGATCATGAACTCTCTGAAAGCGCATTCGCACACGCACTGCAGTATGCTTTGGTATGCGCAAAGGATCGCAACCGCGCAGACTTTGTTAGACTTACCCGTGGTCTATTTGGCGTGGGACAATGCCCTATCGACTGGGCAGCAAACTATACACAAAGCAACATCTTCGTAGAAGGTGCGCTGTATGATGTGTATTCCTGGAACCCCGAGCCTTGGTCCCTTCCAGACGATGCTGAATTGGCTAAGCTGGAGGCTCTTCTCTGCGTCCCGGGCGACACGGACACTCAGCTTCCAATCAACGACGAAGGCACCTTCTACTTTCCGGATCTGAATACGCACATAAAAGCAGCTAAGGAGCGATGGTTCTTTTCTGCCGCATCTATTGCGATAGATTTCTGTGAGTCGCAAATGACGCGGCTTGAACGCACACTGCGAACACTCGCTAACTTTTACAGTGAGACGAATGTCACCAGAGAGAAGGCACAACATGCGCACGATAGTGCTCAACGAAGACTTTAAAGCAGTGTCTCGATCTGAATGCCATGCTGAGGGCTTGATACCATTCTGTCGCGAGAATCCAGAACTCCGCGTAGAACGGCGCATCAGCCTGGTTGCCAATGTCTTTCCAGAAGAATTCCAATGCCCCGTTGCCCGCGAGCCAATGTTTCAGTGGCTATTCGTTGAGGATTGCTTCAGACTACTTATACCTTGGATCGAGGAAGCGTTGAGTCTGTCTTCGCGCGGGATGCCCCCTCGCTCTTTTACCCTGGTCATTGACGGATCGACACAAGAAACATCGGAGATGTGGAGACTGTTGCTATATGCTGCAGCCACACAGGAGGCGCGTCTTGAGCAGTGCAGGCTAAATGGAACCGACCTTCATCCCCGGCCTCTCCTCCGGTATTACGAGGACTTCTGGTCTCTTCCTAGCAATTTCGCGGAAACGATTCGAGACATCGTGGCAGGCACATCAATCGTCAAATACGAAGGAGAGGTGCATGAGCCGTGGGATCAGGATGTGTTCTCTTTCGAACGCAGGGACTGGACTGAAGAGCAATGGTATAACGACTGGGAAATTAATGTCCTCCGCCAGCAGATACCGTCAAAGTTCTACGTGGATGGAGCGCTTCGATACCACATCACACCGTCTCCTATCAGAACAACGCGACAGATCGTTAGACATGGAGCGAGCCGTTCGAATGAAACTCAGCCGAGTGTGTGAGTGGTACGTCAGCTTCATGATAACCCATGCCCGGCGGTTGTATATTACGATCTCCGTACGCCTCGAAGAAGATCTGGTACATGCGTCCCGGCATCTACTGTAATATCACCCGTGTATTCACCGACCTTTTGATACATAGTTAGATGCATCTCATGTAGACAGCCAACTACGAGAAGATCGTCTTATCATATCACTTCCTCCTCTACCTGCCATCATACCCCTTCACCCCCTTGACCCCACTCCCCTCAACCTTCCCACTCGCAACCCCCAAACTCCGCTCAAACGCCCCCGTAATCCCCATCTGATCCGTCAACACGCTAACCATATCAAACCCCCTCTCCACATATCCCCTCGCATCCTCGCCCGAGTTGCAATACATAGCCACCTTCTTCCCCTCCGCATGCGCCGCCTCCTTGATCGTCTCAATCGCGTCCTCCAACTCCTTATCCATCTGTGGAGTCAAAATAGGATGACCAATGTTGTTACCAAGATCAAAGGGCCCGATCAGCAAACAATCGACACCGGGCAAGGCGGCGATTTCACGGCAGCAGGCCAGCGCCGAAGCTGTTTCTATCTGCACAATGGTGAGGAGCGAGGCGTTTGCGTGGCGCAAGTAGTACGTTAGTGGTTCGTTTGAGAAACACTGTGTTGGTAGCGGTGAGCCGAAGCCGCGCGTTCCTTCTGGCGGGAATTTGGCGGAAGAGACAAGTTTTTTGGCGTCGTCGACGGTGTAGATGAGCGGGACTATGACG